ATTGTTTAATTTTAAAATACTATATATCATTTATAGTTATGAATCAACTGAGTGACATACTTTTTAAATTTTCATATCATTTCTGTATAGAAGAGTGAGATACATGCTTTATATTTAAAAAATATTTTTACAAATTTAACATACATTAAAAGAAACTTTATAACATTATAGTGTCACTTTTTACACAGCAATCTGATTTCGACTATCCTTTTGTTAACTACTGAGACAGTTAAGGTGTCAGCCTCCCACTTTAGGGATCAGTATCGAATCCGGGCCATCATCTCCCCAGGAATTTTTTATGTTCAGTCAATCCCGGATACTTTGGTCCCCTCTTTTTTCATCCATCCGTCCCCATTGTGGGCCAAACCTAACCCACAACTGGCACGAAAAAGGTAATATTTCTAAGAAATTTGTTTGAATAGTCCTGTGTAAATGTAATTTTTAATTAACATGTCAAATACTTAGATATTATAGCGCTTTCGAAATTATTAAATCCCGTTAATACAAGTCATCACCGCATAATGGATCCTTCTGAATCCGGGTTCGAATTCGATTTCGACGAATGATTCCGATATAATAAATTTCGGACACTACACGCTAGTGTTTTGTTATATTTTAGCATTAATTTTTACGAAAAAATAAATGATTTAATGATTCAAGTCAAACGTTTATTTTAAGCTGAAAAAGCTCGTTACATCCAGAATTCGCGTGTTGCAACTTGTTTACGACTTTCCTAAGAGGGAAATTCCCGCTTTGACTAAAGAAAGGGCGCTATTCAGCATGCCAATTACCAAATGTATTTGGTCATTGTCCTTCTCGGGTAATTTCTCCGTCTTCGTTATTTCGGCCATAACTGTACTGTTGTGTACGGGTGCAGAAGTGGTAATGAGAGCAGCAGTTGTGGTAGTTGGTGCTGCTGTTGTAGTCGTCGTGACAGTCTGTACTTCAGTCACTGCCGAAGAAGTAACGCTCTTAGAATCGTCGTCGGGGACGTGTTTAGTACCCAGCGAATTTTGTAAACCTGTAACAACGGACATTTACACCTAAGGCCTACGGAACTTATAAGAAATTCTAAATAAATTTTACCTTTTAGAGCAGTTTTAAACTCCTCGATTAGTGTGTCGACGCTGGTAGAACCCATATTGTCTTTCTCCATTTCGGAATTTCTGTACATCATCATTAAATACTTCAACAAAGTTTTCGTCATATCAGGATCGGGTAACTTTCCAAAACTGTTTTCTATAACCTCATTGGAATCATCTCCATCATCATCCACCATTAATTCCTCCTTAGATATTGGATTGGTGTAACACATCCCCATCAAACAGGCAAGAAACAGCAACAGCACTGACATTTTCAAAGTCTTTACGATGCTGTCGTGTACAACTGTAACTTTCGGATGGAGCTTAACGAATTTTTATACCCCAATCTGACGAATTCTAATTGGTCGCTGGTTATAAATTATATAAAAATTTCTAGAAATATTTCACCTTAATTAACTTTGAAATCATTTTCCCTATTCGGACTTCTCGTCTTACCATTATATCTGAAACTGGTGTCACTTTATATAATTGGTCGGGTTTATAATTTCATATAATTAATTTCGCGTACAAATTTTCCCTGAAATTTTACTCATTTATCTTCTGTATTTGTATGTTTTTAAGACATTAAATATATTGAGAATAAATTCCACAAATAAATCTTAATTGTTANGAATATGTTATGTACTGTACAGCAATATCTCCTAATGGATTAATGCTGTTTATCTCTTAATTGCGATGTAATTATAAAATTTTAATGATATAAATTAGATCCTTTTCAATGAAATGAAACTGTTTAAAAACTACTTTAATAGAGTAACTATAAAATAGCAATATTACATCCAATTCCAAACACTTTTGAGCATTCTTGCTCATTGTCTGGAGTGAAAACTAAAAATTATTTATTCAAAAATTCAAATTCTTTGAAATTCTATTTAATTCTAAATGCATTAGTAGTATTATCCTACCTGTTCAGAAGACTTCCATCTCACCTTTTAACTTTTTTCTCTCTCATCATAGAAGTAGGTGGTGAAGCTAATAGAAGTGGAGCAAAAACTACAAAAATAACATTTGTAGCTTTTGCCCCTGATGATGAGCTGGGAGGCTTCAAAGGTCTTTGGACTGGATGTAAGATTGTTTTTTTTTTATTAAAATAGAATTTATATACTGTATTATTAAATATTGAGTGACATATATGATTATTTCTTATAATAATTTAATATTTTCATATATTTTACTTTTTCATTTATGTTTGATATAATGAGAAGACAAGGAAACCACTTCCTTCTATTCCTCTACAGCAAATTAGTCAGAATTATAGTTCTCAAAGAAGAGTTTTTCCTAAGGTATTAATCACAAAATATTTACTGTATTTATTTTTGATGATCAGTTACTCTCCAAAACTGGAATATATTACTTACAAAATGTCTGTTTATAAACAGACAAAAACGTTTGTAAAAGTTCTAATTTGGGGTAATAAAAACTCCTCAAAAGTGCAACACCATGAAGGAATGTGCGTAGCCACTTTCACATTGNCTGTCTATCATGGGTGAAGGTTTTAAATTCTTGTTTGACGTCGAAATTTACATAATCAAATCTTGGTTGGGCTGCAGTAATTCACAGTTGCAAGGACTCTTTGTTAGTATGCAAAGTACACAACTGTTATGTTAGGTTTGGAAAATAAACATTTTCACCTTTTTTCGGAGAATGACTGTCAATGTGGAAATAACTAAAATATTATCCTTCACAGAAGGGAAAAATAAGATGCAAATTTCTCCGAGAGATGTGGCAAATGAAGGAGGAAATATGTCATTTAAAGAAGTGAGAGCTGTAAAGTATTGCACAAATGGGAACTGTTGACAAAAACAAAGGAAGGAAACTAAACAGCAGAGGGAAGAGCCCGAAGAAGATAGTATAAGAGAAAAACTAAATTTAATGACTGTGTATCTGTTACGAAGACTATGATGGTCTTTCTGCTAGAAGGAATCAGGCAATCGTGTTAGCCTTTAGGACAGTCATTCAAAGGGAGGATTAGGTCTAGGTGATGGCGTTCCCATATGTCTTCAAGGGATCTTCTCACTGCTATTCCGAAAATGGTTGTCGTGTCGGCAAGCGTGCCCTTTGTGCTCTATCCACTGCAGGAACAATTCATTAATAACTCCATCCATACCACATGTTACGGTAAAACCACGTTATTTCGAAGCTCAGGGGACCAAAAAACACAACTTTAAATTATCCAAACTTTTTCAGAATTAAATTTTTTTGGAACTCTCGAATAAAATTATGACAATCTCTGTAAAATTGTACTATGTTAAGAGCAAGTTTGTGTTTACGAAATATTCAGTTATGCGGTTATATAACTTACCTATGCGCTTATTTCGGGTTCTACTAGGTCTTCAATGGGGCAATTTGGACGAGACTTGCATATCCGACTAGACTGTTCACATACGATTCCTTGGGCTTTCTGTTTGTATTCAATCCCGGATTTTCAGAACATTAAGCAGAGGCTTTACCGCCTCCTTTTATCAGACAATGATATTCTCTAAATCATAATAAATGAGAAGTGAATAAAACCATTGAACATTGATTCAAGCCTCACCGACAGGATGGGCTATCCACGTGCAGTTTTCCGGGTTTTTTTCACGTCTCCAACACCGAAATTTGGGTCAGTTTCTTTCATAGAAAATCCTCTCGGGACAGCCCCCTTGTTAGATAGTCCCGAGTTTCTTTCCCTTCTCCCATCAGTCCTATAATCCCTACCATAATTTTCTCTTAATAACTTATCAGTAGTGTAGGTTATTGAATATAGATAAAATTTAGTTTAACTCACAAATAATTTTCGAAATATTACTACCAACAACTAGAATATACTACATAGTGTCTGTGACCGCTCTTGGGGTACTATCGAGTTAAAATATTCTAGAACGTTGCCTTTACACGACACAAATGCTACGCCTCTTTGACTAAAAAGAAAATGGCGGACGAGTATTCAATTTTCCCCAAACGTGGCGTCGCTCATGTGGATAGCCGGAAAAGGTATTGTTTACGATTTGTGACGAATGAAAACTTTAAATAATTCAGTAATTATAGTCCATAATTTGTGAAATATAACACTTAGATACACTTAAAATTTCAAATTTGAACACGAGATGATATATTTAAAGAAGACAGCAGTAAAATTTATAATGCAATTTATCACGCTTAATTTATTTTCACTTGAGCTTAGAGTAACACTATACCTTTCTCTGAAAGTAAGACTTGGCATGAAATTTCTACAAAAGAAAATGGTTGTATTTAATTAAAAATTCCACTCTATTGTTTAATTTTAAAATACTATATATCATTTATAGTTATGAATCAACTGAGTGACATACTTTTTAAATTTTCATATCATTTCTGTATAGAAGAGTGAGATACATGCTTTATATTTAAAAAATATTTTTACAAATTTAACATACATTAAAAGAAACTTTATAACATTATAGTGTCACTTTTTACACAGCAATCTGATTTCGACTATCCTTTTGTTAACTACTGAGACAGTTAAGGTGTCAGCCTCCCACTTTAGGGATCAGTATCGAATCCGGGCCATCATCTCCCCAGGAATTTTTTATGTTCAGTCAATCCCGGATACTTTGGTCCCCTCTTTTTTCATCCATCCGTCCCCATTGTGGGCCAAACCTAACCCACAACTGGCACGAAAAAGGTAATATTTCTAAGAAATTTGTTTGAATAGTCCTGTGTAAATGTAATTTTTAATTAACATGTCAAATACTTAGATATTATAGCGCTTTCGAAATTATTAAATCCCGTTAATACAAGTCATCACCGCATAATGGATCCTTCTGAATCCGGGTTCGAATTCGATTTCGACGAATGATTCCGATATAATAAATTTCGGACACTACACGCTAGTGTTTTGTTATATTTTAGCATTAATTTTTACGAAAAAATAAATGATTTAATGATTCAAGTCAAACGTTTATTTTAAGCTGAAAAAGCTCGTTACATCCAGAATTCGCGTGTTGCAACTTGTTTACGACTTTCCTAAGAGGGAAATTCCCGCTTTGACTAAAGAAAGGGCGCTATTCAGCATGCCAATTACCAAATGTATTTGGTCATTGTCCTTCTCGGGTAATTTCTCCGTCTTCGTTATTTCGGCCATAACTGTACTGTTGTGTACGGGTGCAGAAGTGGTAATGAGAGCAGCAGTTGTGGTAGTTGGTGCTGCTGTTGTAGTCGTCGTGACAGTCTGTACTTCAGTCACTGCCGAAGAAGTAACGCTCTTAGAATCGTCGTCGGGGACGTGTTTAGTACCCAGCGAATTTTGTAAACCTGTAACAACGGACATTTACACCTAAGGCCTACGGAACTTATAAGAAATTCTAAATAAATTTTACCTTTTAGAGCAGTTTTAAACTCCTCGATTAGTGTGTCGACGCTGGTAGAACCCATATTGTCTTTCTCCATTTCGGAATTTCTGTACATCATCATTAAATACTTCAACAAAGTTTTCGTCATATCAGGATCGGGTAACTTTCCAAAACTGTTTTCTATAACCTCATTGGAATCATCTCCATCATCATCCACCATTAATTCCTCCTTAGATATTGGATTGGTGTAACACATCCCCATCAAACAGGCAAGAAACAGCAACAGCACTGACATTTTCAAAGTCTTTACGATGCTGTCGTGTACAACTGTAACTTTCGGATGGAGCTTAACGAATTTTTATACCCCAATCTGACGAATTCTAATTGGTCGCTGGTTATAAATTATATAAAAATTTCTAGAAATATTTCACCTTAATTAACTTTGAAATCATTTTCCCTATTCGGACTTCTCGTCTTACCATTATATCTGAAACTGGTGTCACTTTATATAATTGGTCGGGTTTATAATTTCATATAATTAATTTCGCGTACAAATTTTCCCTGAAATTTTACTCATTTATCTTCTGTATTTGTATGTTTTTAAGACATTAAATATATTGAGAATAAATTCCACAAATAAATCTTAATTGTTAATTAAGTGGAATGCTGAAAAATAAGTACAAATGTTATTGAATATCAAATAAATTTCAATAAATTTTTAATTAAAAAATTTTTTTTTCTTCTATTTAACTTACCTTGAAAGTTTCAAATGTAAAATTTTTAATTGTTAATCAATTTTTCTATTTTATTTACTTATTTACCTGCCTTCTAATAAGACAGTTAGATGATGTACTCACCTTATTTTCAAATTTCAGCTTAAAATAACTAATCCAAATTTAATTATAATTAAATTTATAGTATTGTGGTTAGTTTAAAACCTGAGAAACAACAAATAAATACCCTTTTCCACTGTTAAAATTAAGTTTTAATTTTGAAAATATGGAATTGGCACGAATGCTTTTAATTGCCTTAATGAATATTCTTGGAATTCTTATATTATTTCGAGCAAATTCTAATTTTATAAATGATTAATTAAAGAAATTAATTTATTTTTGAATTTTCTGTAATTATGTATGTACTGTACTTCATACAGCACACGCGCCAAGATTTACAATTATTATACAGATTTTTATTGTTAACTCTTGACATTTTTATGGTAAAATAATGCTACAAATTGGATATAACTACGAAAAGACAATTAATAAATCAGATAATTATTAATTCTTTCTGTATTGAGAACACTAAGACCTTCTTGTTGTGTCCTCGATAAAACCCCCGAAATTCTGATTAAAAAATGACACTAAAAAATTAAAAATAAAGCAGGCAGGCAAGTAAGGGGTGTGTGCTATAGTTAAGACCTAGGCACAGACCTATTGTTTAATTTTAAAATACTATATATCATTTNGATCAATTTCTTGAAGACTTACAATTCAACATCAATCAAAATTATAAAAAAATGAGTACAACAACATTGCTATTGTATTAGTTTTATTATAATTTATATTGTACAATTTTCTGGCAGCCAATTGATTATCACTCAAAAGCTAAATTTTTTAAATCCTAGATGATTAATTTAATGTAAATAACATTACCAAATGAGATTTCCTGTAATCTGAATTATTTAGTTTTTATTAGTCATTGTTGAATTCTAATTCTGAAAATCTATTTCTACTATATCATTTTCCAGATGAATCATAAATTCTCAAAAGGTCAAATTACTTCATAAATTATTTAATTATGAAGTAATTTGACCCTTTTTCCAAACATTTTTCTAAAACAGTGGAATTGATATTATATTTTATAGAAACACCTTTAATATAATATGCTTAATTCAAAAATCATATTCCAAAACACTATATTTTCCAATATTTAATTGCAAGTATTCTAAACTATAAACAGAAAATTTATTTTCTTTTAGCAGCTTTCATAACAATAGCAATTATTAATCTTATATTCCAAGGAACAAAGTTGACTAACAATAATAAGGAACTCAAGATAAATTATTATTATAATTTTTACAAAGATATATTTAATTTGATAGTCTTATTAATATAACAAGACTATCAAAATAAATTTTAAAATTTTAATTTAGAAAACAATTTAATATATAATGGAAATATTTATAATTTATTCTGCAATAAATAAATTTATTAAATATTGCTAATGTCACAAGTAAAGTATAATCTTGTATTTAAAAAATAATAGTACATTTGGCATTCTAAATTCACTTATCCCTTAATATATGGACATTGGCTTTTAACAAACAATAGCAATTTAACAATTTTTGATTATGTAGATTACTTTTCAATATTACTGGTAAGTTAAAATGAATAACTAAGTTTAATAGTAACAAGAGAATGATGATACTTCTTTTTATATGTCTGTGTTTTACACAAATATTTTAAGTTTTTTTTTTTTATAAGAAACAAAGCTTTATGTAACTGTGATGTTTCTCGTTTCTTGTAGAAAAACTCTTGCAGTGACTGTATTTGTTTGTAGTAAAGGTTAACTGTCAATCAGGCCACATCCACCATCTTTATGTGGAAGTACAATTCCGATGATTTATGAGAGAGTGTCATTTTATATACAATGACCGGTTACTAAAAATTCTGAATAAGTTAAACGTGCAAATTCTATGTAATTTTTTTTTTTCTAATTAAATATACATATAGAAAGATTTACGGGGATTTAAATAAATCCTCTTATTCTATATATACAGAGAAATATGTGAAACTGTACACGTATTAAGAGTACAAACTCTATTGAGACGATGTAGAAAGTATCAAAAAGGGTTTTGGACCCTTGTTATAATGGAATGAATATCCTATTATTGTACTTTGAAAAATAATATTAATAATAATAAAAACTATGGCTAGACATTTATGAAATGCTAATTTTCGATAAGTACTTTCGATCTATGAGGCACGTCGATATATTATTTTTTTTTTTTGCATTGTAAGTACTTCGGACAGAAGTTTTATAAATTACATAGCTTTAATTTTTTGGATTAAAAGCCGTGAAAAATAAAGGAAAGGGTGCAGTTCTGGTGATAGCGAAGTATCTTATGTAAAATAGTAAAAAGAAATCCTTAAAGTGCATATTTTTCTATTATTATTAGAAATGTAATTGCATATAAAAGACGAAAGTCCACATGTTGGGTGAATTTCTGGCGGAAGCGTGGCAATTTCGCACGCGGAGCTCGTGGTAAAAATAGTATCTTTTAAAACTCGTATGGCACTCTCTCCCTTACGGAATTTCTCATATCATTCCGAATCCTTCCGTTCCTTCGCTGATTGCCAGTCTCAAAGCTTTTTCGAATTGTTCGTACGAATCGTAATCCGGTAAGCACAACTGGTTAAAGCTGAAAAACAGACATATAAAATTATTAAATATTTAATTTCAAACATTTTCTTTAATTAATTGAATATTTAAATACTGTATTTATTTTTAACAAGACAGATATACTCCTGGAAAATAACACACGTCGCCAAAATCTACATCCCATAAGAACGTGTGAAATAATTCTTTCGCACGTCCCTGTGCCCTAATCTATTGTCAAATCCCAATTAAAGAGTTACAAATCTATTGTCATAGAACTGTTAATGCCGAGAAACCACCGCTTTGACTCGAAAACCACAATGCAAAAGTGAGTTTAAAATACTGTGCGCATGACATCTCGTAACGAATTTCTCTAGAATCCAGTGGCATCAAAAAATGGATAGCGGTACAAAATTTGTTTATAATCGCCCGTGTTTAAATAACAAACTTACCACGTGTGAGCAGTCGGTAAGTTTCCAAAAGTCGGAGCGGCAGTAATGTGAAATTTCGGATTTAATTCCGAAAATCCACCGGGAGGTAACTGAGAACATCCAGTGGTAAACTGCAGCAATCGAGCCATTTCTTCTTCCGTGAAATTTGATACTGCTGTCCAAAACCAATCGAGAACCTATAAAAATTCAGATTTATTATTACAATCTCTCAAAATAGTGATAAATATTAATATCAAATTTCTGAAGTCGAAAACTTTTCACTGAAGATTATATATAAATTTTTAAAAAGTTTTTTTATTTCACTGGATACAGTGGCTATTCCTACGTAACAAAAACCACTTAAACTGTGTTAAACTATTTTACTTATACTGATAAATGTCCCGATGCTTTCCAGCATGAATCGATCGTTGTGGAGAATGCCAGAGAGAAATTACTCTTGGAATAATCACAATCTCGCATTCTTGACCACAAACCATTCTTTTTGTCATTGGGATGGTCAAGGCATAGCAACAAAACAAACAAAAAATTAAATAAATATGTCAGTGTGTGTGTATCTGTATTCAGGAATTTCCTAACAATATGACATGTATTCATTATAGTGGCCTTCTGTAGTGTGATGTATAGTGTCTGTGGAATGTATTTGTAGTACGGATCATGAAGTTAAATAATTTGTGTTTATTTGCAAGCTCTTGGTGTATTATATTTGCTATTTGATTATGTCTATGTAAATAATCTGTCTGTGCCAAGAGCTTGCAACTAGAGGTGATGTGTTATATAGTTTCTGGTATGATATGACATTTTCTGCATGTGTCATTTGTGAATGTTGTATCTTTGGGTATGTGTTTTCTGTAGTTTTTAGTATTTATGACCTGATCCTGTATGGAAATCATGAACCTTTCCATCTCCCCAAAGAGGCATCCCTGGTCTAACCAGTTGTTTGATGCAGTTTTATCAACAAAATCCTGGGCCAGGTCGTAGAGATGCCTGCCATGGAGTGCCTTTCCAGCCCAAAATTGCTTAATGGTGTCTATGCTTTTTATATGTTGTGTTGTGTCCATATGATGAGAGTTTGAGTTTAATGCTGTGTTATTTGAGTCTGCTAGAGTTAGTGTGATGTTTCTTGATTTGTAGAAAAACTCTCAAAGCATCTGTATTTGTTTGTAGCAAAGGTTTTTGTCAATCAGGCCACATCCACCATCTTTATGTGGAAGTGTTAATCTTTCTATGGCAGAATTAGAATGATGTTGTTTATGCTTAGTAAGTGTTGTTCTTGTTTTCCTTTGGACTTGCTCAAGATCTATGTGAGTCCAATGTATAACTCCAAAAGGATAAGTGAGTACTGGATGACATATGAGTATGTATGTATTGCTTTAATTGTGTTCTGAGAATATCGTTTAACCTACTTTGGTATTCTTTAATTAATCTTTGCTTTATTTGTGTATGTTCTGTTAGTTTGGCCCATTGGAATCCTAAATACTTGTAGAATTCACCCTCTTCCATGGATTCAATAATGTCTCCATTTCCAAGTGCAAAATCTTCTTTCTTCGGGATTCCTTTTTCTATATGAAGTGTTTTGCATTTGTCTAAGCCAAACTCCATTTGTATGTCCTTGGAGTATGAATGTATGATTTATAAGAGTTGATGAAGTTGTTTTTGTGTGAATGCATAGTTTTATATCATCCATGTACATGAGATGTGACAATGTAAACTGTGTTGTTTTTTCATGTCTGATATTGTAATCATGTTGCCTGTTGTTTAACCATGTTAGATAATGGGTTCAGGGCTAAGCAGAATCAGAGAGAACTCAAGGAATCTCCTTGACAAATTCCTTACCTAATATTATTATTATTGAAATGATCTATTTTTTAATCTCTCTGCCTGTGGGCACTAACAAGGTCTTTTTCAGGCCAATGACTGGGTGCTCAGGTGGTGAGAGATGGGGCCCAACACATCCAATACAGACTATTCCCAAAAAAATTCTTAAGAAGATAGACTGATCTCTACCCTGAGAAATTACAAATAAAAATATACTGAGCAGTATTACAAAATTTTCTGTTTTCTTTGGTCCACCTGGCTAGTAAAAACTTGAGAATTACCATGATTATCAGTATTTAACTTTTCTTCCACTTCATTTAAGAATTTTTGAAAGGTTTTCAATCCTTCCACCCATCATATCAATAATTTTTGCCAAATATTTGAAAAAAAATTATTAATGTGATGATCTGAAATTATATATACACTATATATATATATATATAATTAT